CAGTGCCTTGGGACGTCCTCCTGACGTGAAAGGCGCTTTATAAATGGAATCTTGTTGTTGTTGTTGTTGTTGCGCGCTTAGCATCACCATACACCAACCAGTGTTGACAAATTTACTTGACACCACATCAAATACCATCGCTTTGAACAGACAAATCAGCTACGCTGTATCCCTTATACACCGGGCAGCGGACAGAATCACGATCATGTTTACAACAACAACAAGATTCAATTTATAGAGCGCCTTTCACGTCGGGAGGACGTCCCAAGGCGCTGGACAGTTGGGTCAGGACCCGAGCAGTGGGGGAAATGGTCAGGGTGAGGGGAGGGAAGGGAGGGGGCGAGGAGGGGGTAGAGAGTCGAGAGCGGAGCTGAAGGCTGAAGGTCAAAGAGAAAGGTCTTGAGACCGGCCTTGAAGGAGGAAAGGGAGGAAACGGCGAAGGCACTGGGGGATAGAGTTCCAGAGCCTCGGGGCTGAGAGGCTGAAGGCCCGACCACCGATGGTAGGGCGGTTGGGGCGGGGGATGTGGAGCAGACCGGAGCCGGAGGAACGGAGGGTACGGGCAGGTAGGTAGGGGGACAGTAGGTCGGAGAGGTAGGAGGGAGCGAGGCCGTGAATGGCCTTGTAGGTGAGGATGAGGATCTTGAATTCGACCCTCTGGGGGATGGGGAGCCAGTGGAGGCGAGCGAGGGTGGGAGTGATGTGGTCGCGAAGCCTGGTGCGGGACAGTACACGTGCTGCAGAGTTCTGAATGACCTGCAGCTTGTGGAGGGAGGTGCCGGGAAGGCCGGCGAGGAGAGAGAGGTCCCATAGTTTACTCACTACTCCTCTTTCAGATTTAATGGTCACTTTCTTACTGGAGGTAAATTCCCTCGCCCTGGTACATGTAAAGTAGATTCAATAGTGATTATACCGGGAAGAGCACTGACAACTCCCAACTATCTCAAAGTTACATCTTTCTTTTACATGTTTCTAACTCCGCTTCCCTTCGTCGCAGAGATAGCCCCCACCCTTCACAGGCTGCTTTGCACAGAGGGAGAGATATGGACAATTTCTGGGCAGCCTTCCACAGCCTGCTTGCTTTTCAGCCTTAAGTTAGGCGGGTGTTGAGGCTGCAGCCGTTTAATCAGAAGCTGACGTCAACCCGTCCAGCAAAGCTACTGGATGAGGGCAAATTTCCTACAGCTAAATGTGAACAAGACTGAGGTCCTCCCGATCGGCTCACGCCAGCGCCTCAGCACCTCAGGCTCTGGCAGCGTCAACCTTCATGGTTGCACACTACAACTCACCAGCCATCAGGAACCCGGGTGTCTTGTTCGACCCTCAACTGTCTTTTCTCCCACACATTCAAGCCATGACCCGTCTGCCTTCCCTCACCTCCGTAACATCGCCCGACTCCGCCACTACCTCACCCCTCAGGCCACTGAAACTCTCGTTCATGCCCTCATCACCTCCAGGCTCGACTATGCAAACTCCCCGCTTGTCGGCCTTCCCAACTCCTCCCTCCACAGTCTGCAGATAATCCAGAACTCTGCCGCCCGTGTCCTCTCCCGCACCAAACTCCGTGACCCCATCTCCCCCACTCTCGCCCGTCTCAATTGGCTCCCTATCCTTCAGAGGATCCAATTCAAAAATCCTGGTCCTCACCCACAAAGCCCTCCATGGCCTCGCCCCACCCTACCTCTGCGACCTCCTAACCCCCAATAAATCCGCCCGCTCCCTCCGCTCAGCCGACTTCAGCTTGCTTCATGTCCCCCGACCCACCCGTCCCACGATTGGCAGGAGAGACTTCAGCCAATCTGCCCCCAACCTCTGGAACTCCGTCCACCAATCACTCTGACCCGCCCCCTCCTTAGCCTCCTTTAAGTCCCGCCTCAAGACCCTCTTCTTCGACCATGCCATCAGTCACCCCCTTTCCCACCCCTCCCTCCTCCCCTTGACCCCAGCTCGGATCTGAAATGCTGTACACTGTCCAACGCCTCCCGTTAAAGGTGCTATACAAACGTAATCTTGTTGTTTGTGGGACACTGCTGTACCCAATTGGCTGCCACATTTCGCCCAAAATATACAATCAATTCACTTTACAGTATATTCTGTGAAGCGCTTTGAGGCGTCTCAAAGGCGTGAAAAGCGTTACGTCAAATGCAAGGATTATTATTATTATTGTGACTCCGTTTTCTGATTGCCTTCTGTGTCTTCACTCCCAGTTTATCCTTCCTCGGTGTTTCCAATCTCTGTTCTTCCACTTGTGGCTTCAGTTTCTGTCTCAGTCATATTGATGCAACAACATTTTGAAGTAACCAACCAAGTGCATAAGGTTAGAATGAGCAGGAGTCCTCCAATGAGCTGCGAGGTGTGGGAGAAAAGACAAACAAATGTGATCATATCACAATGGTTTCCGGTCTTGTCACATTCGAAATTCCATCATCAACAATATCCAAACCACTAAGATTTCCATGTAACAAAACTCTAATCCTTGCTCTTGTTGTAGCGCCTTATCACGTCATTGGGACGTCTCAAAGCACTTCACAGGCTATATTGCAAAGTGGGTTGACTGTGTATTTTGTGGGCCAAATGCGGCAGCCAATTTGTAGACAGCAGTGTCCCCCAAACAATCATGGAGTGCGTAACTGATTTTGATCCTCAGATTATAAAGACAAGCCGAGAAGGGTTGGTGGGGAAAGAAAGACAAAGGAGACATTTAGGTTGAGGACAAGAGAGGTGTACAACAGAGGTGTTGATGCTGCAGGACATAATCTGCTCTCTTCCGAGTTCTGACCACTAGTTCTGACAAAAGATCATCGACCATGTAATGTTATCTCACGTTCTTCTCTCTGTAGGTGCTGTCTGACCTGCTTAGTGTTCCCAACGACGTCTGTTCTTATTTCAGATTTCCAGCATCTGCAGGATTTTGCCTTTTATGAACTTTGATATTGTCTTCACAGTGAAATGTACAGGTAGTAACAGGTGAGCGGAGTGGGCAGATTGTCGATAGTGACAAAAAATATGAGGAGGCTGCCGGCAGGCAGTGACATGTTGGCCGACTGCACTTACGATCATCTTTCCCTTCTGCACCCCATCCTTCCATGCCTCTACCACCCACCCCTGCCAAGCCAGGATTGTTCAGTACTTTGGGACGAATGTCCTCCCAAAGTGAAAGGCGCTGTAGAAAAGTAAATTTGTGGAATCCTTTAGTGTAGACACTGTAGACAACATTATAATGGCCAATCGTATGGACGTATAAATGCTGCCTCCAAAAATTCTTTGACTAAAGCGAGAGCAACAGTTTATTAAAATCTTTTGTGACACTTTTCTGCACAAATCTTCCAGAACTTCGATTGTGCTGCTGTGCACTTAGCATCAACATATACCAGTGCCTTAGCAACTGGAGATAAGATCATAATAGCCTACGAGCTGGTAAAATCAACTAAAAATGTCAAAATTTAGACAAATTTACAAAACAATCCACAAACCAATTGGAGCAAAACAAAATCTCTGGTTGAATGTCATCAAGACAGACAGAGGCTCTTCCAATTGTTTCCTATCTGTACCTTCTCACCTGAAGTTTCCAGGGTAATAATCCCTTAAAAAAATCATATAATCAATCCCCCGCTGTGTGTGGGACACTGCTGTGCACAATAGGCTGCTGCAGTCAATCCACTGTATGCTATAATCTGTGAAGCGATTTGAGATGTCTCAAGGACAAGATAAGGTGCTTTATCAATTGCAAGGATTACAATAATTACTTGCAAGAGTCACTAAGACACGAACCTGAGGTCCCATCTGCCTGAGCAGGTGGACATTAAAGATTCCAGGTCGCTAGTGGAAAAGAGAAGGGAATGTCTCTCTTCTGGTATCCTGGCAAACAATGCCCCAAATAAAATTGGTCATAAAATTCACTTGAAGGCTCTGTGGGACATTGGCGGGTGCAAGTTGCCTGCCACGTTTTGACCACTTTACAGTTTAATCCTGTGATGCACTTCGAGGTGTCTCAATGACATAATAAGGCACTGTATCAAATTCAAGATCCTCATCCTCACCTACAAGTCCATTCACGGCCTCGCTCCCTCCTACCTCTCTGACCTACTATCCCCCTACCTGCCTGCCCGTACCCTCCGTTCCTCTGGCTCCGGTCTGCTCCACATCCCCCGCTCCAACCGCCCTACCATCGGTGGCCGGGTCCTCAGCCTCTCAGCCCCTAGGCCCTCATTCAAGGCCGGTCTCAAGACCTCTCTCTTTGACCGTGACTTCAGCTCCTCTCTCGACTCTCTACCCCCTCCTCGCTCCCTCCCTTCCCTCCCCTCACCCTGACCATTTCCCCCACTGCTCGGGTCCTGACCCAACTGTACAGCACCTTGGTACATCCTCCCGACGTGAAAGGCACTCTATAAATGGAATCTTGTTGTTGTTGTTGTTGAAAGGATAATCATTATAATTACTAGGAAATCCAGAGCACTAATATCTTCCACAACAGGCATCCAAATAACAAAATGATTACATTGGGGGAAACTAGTCCATAATAATAATCCTTGCATTTGATATAGCACCTTATCACATCTTGGAGATGTATCAAAGCACTTCACAGAATATACTACAAAGTGAATTGACCGTATATTTTGTGGGTGAATCTCAACAGTCCATATCTCGAGGGCTGATCCTGTGATGTACAGTCAAATGAATTTGTATCATTTTTGCAAAACATTTTAATCTTACTCTCTAGAATTGCTTTCATCTACACATCTAGAATTTTGCGGCAGATTACTTTGTGCTCAGAGTAACATACGACAACTTGCACTCATGCAACTCAAAATATTGAACCGTTCTGTCAGGGAGCAAGAAAGGAAAACTGATTTAGCACGAACAGATTTCAAGAGTGACTGGAGATAAGAATGGATTTTTGCCTCAGGAACGGCCAATATTTGGTGGTGCGTCAACTCATTCCTTCACAAAAGAACTGAATGAGCATCTGGTTAGGAAGATGAGTAAACAAAATTACTCACTTGCGATCCCAGCAGAACATTGACGGCTCGTCGGTCCGCAGTTTCTATCGTTTGATTAACCGACGGTTTGCATGGATTTCGACCATTGTTTTTGAGAAGCTGGTCAGTCCTGATATTCCCGGTGGAAAACATGCAGATCGCATAATCACCGTCTACCAAAAGTAATGTCGCCCATATCGATGCAAGAAGAAGTGCTGTTGAAATGTGTTTCTTCGGATTATCTGAGCAGACTTTCTGTGATATCAAGTAAAAAAGGATCAGTGAAATCACAGGCACGAAAAAGAACATGAGACTGTAGAAACAATTATAATGCCCATCACACGGACATATAAATGCTGCCTCCAAAAATTCTTTGAATAAAGTGAGACCAGTCGTTATTAAAATCTTTTCTGTGACTTTTCCTCCCACACCATTCAAAAATTCCATCGTGCCGCTGTGCATTTGGCATCAACACATATCAGTGCTTTAGCAACTGGGCATAAGACCACAATAGCACACGCTAAACTCCAACTGAATGGCAACAAGACCGAGGCCCTCCTGATAGGTTCGCGCCAGCGCCTCCGCAACTCAACCTCACTCAGCCAGTCAGGAACCCGGGCGTCTTGTTTGAGGCTTTCTCCACCACATCCGCGCCGTGACTGGCACTGCCTACCACCACCTCCGCAACATTGACAGACTCCGCCACTGCCTCGCCCCTCAGGCTGCCCAAACCCCCCGTGTACTCGTGCACACGGGGGGTTTGGGCAGCCTGCTCGTGTACTCTCGCGCACCGGGCTCCGTGACCCCATCACTCGCACCCTCGCCCGACTCCACTGGCTCCCCATCCCCCAGAGGATCGAGTTCAAGATCCTCGTCCTCACCTTTAAGGCCATCCGTGGCCTCGCCCCCTCCTCCCTCTCTGACCTGCTGACTCCCTACGAGCCTGCCCGCTCCCTCCGTTCATCAGGCTCCGGTCTGCTCCATATCTCCTGCCCGACCCGCCCTACCATCGGTCACCGGGCTTTCAGCCTCTCTGCCCCCACACTCTGCAACTCCATTCCACAGTCCCTTTGCCTCGCTTCCTCCTTTGCCTCCTTCAAGGCCGGTCTCAAGATACTCCTCTTCGATCGTGCCTTTGGTCTGCTTCCTACCTCTCTGCCTTCCCTCACCCTACACCACCCCTTCCCCCCAATGCTCGGGTCCTGACCCCTGACTGTCCAGCGCCTTGGGACGTCCTCCCGACATGAAAGGCGCTCTATAAATGCAAAATTGTTGTTGTTGTTGTTGCCTACAAGCTGATAAAATCAACCAAAAATGTCAAAACTTAGAAGGCAAATTTAAAAAAAAACAATACGCAAACCAATTGGAGCATGGTCGGATTTCCAATCCTGCATTCGTGTCGAATGACCAGACAATATTAAGTTTGTGGCTCACTTAGTTTATTCAAAAGATTCAGTACATAATAGAGAAAATACATAAAACGTATACTACCGTTGCCGGAGCAGTCAATGTGCTTTGGCCCTAAATCTTTATGTGCCTGGTTCCCTGGCAAGTCTACCGCCCTTTCAACTTTATACCTTTCTTATCTTATCCGTGACATGTTTCAAACCTCTTTGGTCATCCAATCAATGATCGGGTACGTAGACCACATAGGCCTTTTGTAAATAGGGGCCAAGGCTTGAGCAGCTTTCGTCAGGAACTGTGCGGTATTATCTATAAAAACAACTCGTACATCCTGTATATCCTGTTATCAGTGTGAGACAACAGGTACTTTTCACTCACACAAGGCCAGCGGTTAAACTCACTTCAGCACTTTATTTTTAACCACATCCTCGTATCTGAGAAAAACAACTTAAATCTGTAACAGATGATTCTTGATTGTGTAAGCCAGCTCAACAATTTAACAGATCTGCCTTGAAATCTTTCACTACGCATATCATATTCTAACAGCCCCACATTGAGAGTGAGAAAATAAGATTTTCGATACTCTCATTTTACATATGATTTATTGACTAGTCAGATTGCACCCGTGTGGCCCTCAATAGGAGCACACATGACGTAAAGGCACAATCATTGTAAATAAAATCATGGCGTCAACACGAACAACTCGGAGCAGTGAGCGTCCATTTGTTCACGCAAACCAGAGCGCGAGCGGGCAGTGAATTTAAACTGCTCACAGTCAGTGGCTACAGTCTGCGATGTTTAAAGTTGCTGCGCTGCACCGATTTCTTTTCTCTTGTGTTTCTTCAATGAACCCACCCTACTCTCTCCCTCGACTCTCGTTATAATCTCTTTATTTGAGGGAACACCTCTTCATCCTTCTCACGTTTAATTCCATCGATTTATTTTCTTGCTTCATCTGGTTCTGAGTTAAACTTCTCAGATTCCTGTCCCAACATCTCTCTTTTACATTTCAGTTGTTCCTCCAACTGCAGCACCTTTTTGTGACGCTGTGTATGTGACACAGGATCATACGGCCAGAGCTGCCTGTGGTTTTACAGTCGATTTTAAGGGTAAGGAACGGGAGGTTTTACTGATTTGAGGACCACCTCCAGTCGCCTCCTGGAGGGTTAATAATGCAATCAATTATCCAATTTTTGATCCGTGGGTGACATAGAGTGAATATGGGGCAATTTGCAATTTGTTGAGCCCCTGGTTGCGGTCTCTCTGCTGGAGGAGCGGTTGGAGTTTACTTTGGCCGCTTGTCAGGTGGACCCTCCCCCGGTAACCTGTTTTGCGGTCAGTAAGGCTACTAACTTTTCTAGTGTATCTTGCATTAGCTCGGGGGGTGGGGGGTGGGGGTTGGGGCCTGGCTGGGTTTGATCAGGGCGTTCCGGAGCCCAACGGCCATCTCTGCCAGAGTGGGATCAGGACATGTCGTTGGTATCCCGTCCGGCTCCTCCGTGTCGGAACCCAATCCCGTTCCCACGACCGCTTCCGCGGCCTCGGCCGGATCCTCCCTGACCTCGTCGCCAATTTGGGTACAAGTTATGGGGACCTTCGACCTCACAAACCTCCTTCTTTATCTTTTGTTCACTTATCTTAACCTGTTTATCGGCCTGGCAGAACTTTATTCATCAACTCTGCCCGAGGGGTGGAGGTGGAGACCGACAGGTCCAAAGCCGTGTTTTAGTTTTCTCGCTCAATTTATCCAGAAAGGTGCTGGGAAGCCCTGCGATGGTTCACGCCCTGAGCTGCATTGGGTTGTGATCAATCGGTAGAGGCTTGACTCAAACATCCCAATGGGTTCACCTTTATTCGGGCACACAGATAAACCTGGTCCATTACGTTCAGGTTATTCAGCCCCAGGATGTCATTAAACATTGCGTCCTTTGTGGCATTCGGTTGTTTAGACGCTGCCTGTAGCTGCCACTTTACATTCAGGTTAATAAAACCCTCTTAAAATCATCATCAGATCACTCCGTATGAGAAGTTACGTAGTTATCCCAAGTATTGTGCAATTCTAATGGACTGCAGCCGTCAGTAATCATAGCCATCTCTTGTACCAACACCTGACCCTCCCCATGATGAATGGGCTGCTCCTCTGTGTGTTCGCTAGTTATAGCGTCCGCTGGATTTCGCCATAGTTTTGGGTTACTACCTCCACTTGTTGTGGTGCATATCCCATGGCGGACTCCCAGTCCCCATCCAGCGAGTCCTCTTGAAAATGAGCAGCCTCGTCAATCGGATCATCCCCATTCACATCATCACCATCATCATCATCATCATCATTATTAGCGCCCGTGATATGTTTCATGGTCCTGGTCAACTTAAACAAAAAGCTGAATACGAAACTAACTTTATTCAATCTAAACGATACAGTTAAATGTCTTAAAAGTTTGATACTAAATTGATTACATGTAAAAACCTATATTTTCTAACAGCAAAACAAAATCTCCCGTTGAAAATCATCAAGACAGAGGCTCCTCCACTTGCCTCCCATCAGCATTTCTGGCGTAATAATCCCTTCAAAAAATTATTTAATAATTTGGTCACTCAATACACCACTGTTTGTGGACACCGCTGAGCACAATTGGCTGCCGTGTTTCGCCCACAAAATACAGTCAATCCCCTGTACGATATATTCTGTGAAGCACTTTGAGATGTTTCTAAGAAAAGATAAGGCGTGATATCAATTGCAAGGATTTTGAATTTTTTGATTGATACTGTAACTACTCTTGTTTTGCCCACAAAATATACAGTCATTTCACTTTACATTATATCTGTGAAGCGCTTTGAGATGTCTCAACGACGTGATAAGGTGCTTTATCAATTGCAAGGATTACAATAGTTACTTGCAAGAGTAACTAAGACATGAACCTGAGGTCCCATCTGCCTGATCAGGTGGACATTAAAGAGTCCAGGTCGCTAGTGGAAAAGAGAAGGGAATTTTTCTCTTCTGGTGTCCTGGCAAACAATGTCAAATAAAATTGGTCTTAAAATTCACTTGATGGCTCTGTGGGACATTGGCGGGTGCAAGTTGCCTGCCACGTTTTGACCACTTTACAGTTTAATCCTGTGATGCACTTCGAGGTGTCTCAATGACATGATAAGCACTGTATCAAATGAAAGGATAATTATTATTATTACAAGGAAATCCAGAGCACTAATATCTTCCACAACAGGCATCCAAATAACAAAAGGTTTACATTGGGGGAAACTAGTCCATTATAACAATCCTTGCATTTGATATAGCACCTCATCAAAATCGAGGGGATACGTTCAGCCACCTCTACACTGTCCACAGTCACCCCCACATCACCTCTCCCTCATAACACCCCCCACCCCCACACCACCCAATCCCCCCCTGTACTCCTTCGACCCTATCTCTCCCTCCTCCCTCTCTGCAGCTGTTCGCAAACTCAAACCCACCACCTGCTCCCTCGATCCCATCCCCACCTCTCTCCTCATCTCCCAGCTCCACCTTCTCCACCTGCCCTTGTCTGGTTCGATTCCTGTCTCTCTCACCATCTCCACTTTGTTGCCTCTAATGGTTTCTCCTCCAGCCCCCGCACTGTCACATTTGGCGTCCCCCAGGGCTCTGTCCTTGGCCCTCTCCTCTTTAATATCTACATGCTCCCCCTCGGTGACATCATCCGCAGACATGGGGTCAACTTCCACATGTATGCGGATGACACCCAACTCTATCTTTCTGCCTCCACCCTCAACTCCAGGACCACTGCTGTCCTGACAGACTGCGGTCGGACATCAAGTCCTGGATGAGGGCAAATTTCCTACAGTTGAATGTGAACAAGACTGAGGCCCTCCTGATCGGCTCACGCCAGCGCCTCAGCACCTCAGGCTCTGGCAGCATCACCCTCCATGGTTGCTCACCACAACTCACCAGCCATCAGGAAACCGGGTGTCTTGTTCGACCCTCAACTGTCTTTTCTTCCCCACATTCAAGCCATGACCCACTCTGCCTTCCCTCACCTCCGTAACATCGCCCGACTCCGCCACTACCTCACCCCTCAGGCCGCTGAAACTCTTGTTCGTGCCTTCATCACCTCCAGGCTCGACTATGCAAGTCCATTCCCCAATCACTCCGCCTCACCCCCTCCTTAGCCTCCTTTAATTATCCCCTCAAAACCCTCCTCTTCAACCATGCCATCGGTCACCCCGCTTCCCCTCCCCTCCCTTCTCCCACCTGACCCCAACTCGGGTCTGAATGCTGTACACTGTCCGGCGCCTTGGGACGTTCTCCCGACATGAAAGGCGCTATGCAAATGTAATCTTGTCGTTGCTGTTATCACATCTTCGAGATGACTCAAAGCGCTTCACAGAATATACTGCAAAGTGATTTAACTGTATGTTTTGTCAGTGAATCTGATTTCAACCCATCCAGCAAAGCTACTGTTAACTACGATAGTCATCAAATCAAACAAACCTGATTAAAGGTAGGTTACATTCCAAACATATATAAAGATTAATTAAAACCTTACCTCAAATATAATCTAACACCAGTGCTTTAGCAACTGGAGATAAGCAAAAGGAACCAATACAATTGTGGGGAATTGGCACAGTGCTCAGGGTGCTGCTGGGCCACAGCTTGGAGGCCTGAGAGCGAGTCTGTCACCCACCCTGAGGAGAAGCTCAGCCACACGACCTCACCCTGTGCACCAGAGCCCACACACCCCACCCACCACCCCCCACCCCCCGAGCCCACACACCCCCCCCCACCACCACCCCACCCTGACACTGTGCCCCCAGCAGCTTTATTCCTCTTCTCCTTCATCACTCATTCGCTCAGCTAGGGGCCGGGTGGGGGCCGGGCTGGGGGCTGGGCTCGGGTCTGGGCTGGGGCCCATGGGTGCCACGCTTTGGGATGACTGATAACTAGGTTGTGCGTTCGAAAATAGTAACAGTGGCATTTTTTCCGCATCTTGTGGCTCCATTTCCCGATTGCTGCCAGTGTCTTCTCTCCCAGTTTGCACTGTCGCGGTGTTTCCATTCTCTGTTCCTCCGACTGTGGTTTCACTTTCAGTCTCAGTCACTTTGTAAATAAAAATGAAACAAATTCCCAAGGTCACAATAAGCAGGAGTCCTCCACAGAGCTGCGAAATGTGGGAGAAAAGACAAAGAAATTATTTCTGGTCTTGTCACATTTGAAATCCCATCATCAAGAATATCCAAACCAAACTACTTAGATTTTCACATAATAAAACCATAATCCTTGCATTTGATATAGCGCCTAATCACATCATTGAGACGTCTTTTCACAGGCTATATTGCAAAGTGGGTTGACTGTGTATTTTGTGGGCCAAATGCGGCAGCCAATTTGTAGACAGCAGTGTCCCCCAAACAATCATGGAGTGCGTAACTGATTTTGATCCTCAGATTATAAAGACAAGCCGAGAAGGGTTGGTGGGGAAAGAAAGACAAAGGAGACATTTAGGTTGAGGACAAGAGATGTTGATGCTGCAGGACATAATCTGCTCTCTTCCAACATCCACTAGTTCTGACAAAAGATCATCGACCATGTAATGTTATCTCACGTTCTTCTCTCTATAGATGCTGCCTGACCTGCTCAGTGTTCCCAACGATGTCTGTTCTTATTTCAGATTTCCAGCATCTGCAGGATTTTGCCTTTTATGAACTTTGATATTGTCTTCACAGGGAAATGTACAGGTAGTAACAGGTGAGCGGAGTGGGCAGATTGTCAATAGTGACAAAAAAAATGAGGAGGCTGCCGGCAGGCAGTGACATGTTGGCCGACTGCACTTACGATCATCTTTCCCTTCTGCACCCCATCCTTCCATGCCTCAACCACCCCCAGGTTGGTGCCAAGCCAGGATTGTTCAGTGCTTTGGGACGAATGTCCTCCCAAAGTGAAAGGCACTGTAGAAAAGCAAATTTGTGGAGTCCTTTAGTGTAACGCTTAGCGCACTTGCTTTGATTCCTGGGATCTGGGTTCTATTCCTAGACAGGGTGAAATGCTAGACAAGTTTCCTTACTCTATACATGTGTGTTTGCCTAGCAGCAAATAGGAATCCGGTTGTTAGTCGATTGGCAGATCACTTTTCCGGGGATAATAGTCCCTTAAAAAAATTCTTTAAAAAAATGAAGAAATGGGGTCATTAAATCCACGGATGTTTGTGGGACGCTGCTGTGTGCAATTGGCTAACAATTGTGGAATTGTGGGCATTTTGCCCACAAAATATACAGTCATTTCACTTTACAGTATATCCTGCGAAGCACTTTGAGACCGGCACTCATACAGCTCAAAGTATAACAGTTGTGTCAGGGAGTAAGAAAGGAAAACTGATTTAACGTGAACAGATTTCAAGAGTGACTGGAGATAAGAATAAAATTTTCCTTAAGGAACGGGCAATACTTGCTGGTGTGTCAACTCATTCCTTCGCTAAAACTACTGGCTGAGTATCTGGTTAGGTAATGTAAAGAACATTACTCACTTGCGATCCCAGCAGGGCATTGACGGCTCGTCGGTCTGTCGTTTCTATAGTTTGATTAGCCGGTGGTTTGCACGGATTTCGACCGTCGTTTTTGAGAGGCTGGTCAGTCCTGATCGTCCCGGTGGAAAACATACAAATCACATAATCACCGTCTAGCAAAAGTAAAGTTGTCCATGTCAATACAAGGAGAGCTGTGGTGAAAATCTTTTTCTTGGAATATTCTTTTGGTGATGGGAGAAAAGAGATGATGATCAGTGAAATGGCAGGAAAGACAAAGAACGAGACACCGTAGGCAACATTAAATTGCTGATCACATGGACATATAAATCCTGTTTCTAGTATTGCTTTCAATAAAGTTAGAGCTAAGGTTATGAAAACACTTTTTAGAATTTTCTTGTTCTGATGTGTTACGGTACCAAGAATTATATCCTTAATTTCCATGTGCTGCTGTGCACTTCGTTCAACATGAACCAGTGTTGATAGCAACTGGGGGTAAGATCATAATAACACTCACAAACTCCTCCCAACAAGCTGATAAAATCAACCAAGAGATTTAGAAATATTTATAAAGAATGTACGGCACCAGTCTCAACCTATTCCTCCCTCCCTCCCATACCTGTAGTGCAGTGGTTAGAACAAGCGAGAGGACCGATTCCTGGGTATGGCAAAACCTTGGCCAACCTTCCTGACTCCACACATCTCTGTTTACCAAGCAGCAACAGCAACACTTTGCATTTATACAGTGTATTCATTTAAATTTATATTTAACGTGTTATTGAGACATCTCAAATCACTTCTCAGTTGTGGATTGAGTGACCAATTTATTATATTGGTTAGTTATTTTGATCCTGTTTGCGTCCGTTCAGATGGACACTAAAGAGCCCTCAACTCCATGGTTGGATGACTGTGTCCAGTTCCGAGCTTCCCCATTACAGGAAGGGTGTAGAAGCGCCGGAAAAAGTGCAGCGGGGATTGACTGGGTTGTTGCGGAGGGGAGAGGGGGTCTCGGATGTGAAGAAAAGACTCGAGAAGTTGTGGCTTGTTCTCCCTGAGCAGCCTGACAGATGATCATAGTTAACGTCTCCTCCGGAAGCGGAAAGATAAATACATTTTTAAGCTCTCCCGAAATTTGACTGTGAACAACTTCTCGAAAGCAACACCTAAAGTTGCGAGCCGGCAGGGTAACAGGTGGAGAAGGTGATCAGGCGAACTGTGTGTGGGTTGACCCAGTTGACATCTCTTGAGGTGGAAGGTTGTGCGTTCAAGCGCAACCCCCCCCCCCCCCCCAAGACGCTTGAACTGACACAGGCTGATTACTCCAATACAGTGATGGAGATGTGTTACCTTCTCAGAGTTGCGAGCCTTCCGATGAGATGCTCAACCGAGATCCCGCCTGTGCACAACGACGACAGCAAGATTACATTTGTAAAGCACGTTTACATGTGCTTTGCAAATGTCGGGAGGACATCCCAAGGCGCTGGACAGCGTACAGCATTTCAGCCCCTATAATAGCCCTGGAACCCCATCAAATCCTTGAGAGGCTGAAGGCCCGGCCACCGATGGTAGGGCGGTTGGGGCGGGGGATGTGGAGCAGACCGGAGCCAGAGGAATGCAGGGTACGGGCAGGTAAGTAGGGGGATAGTAGGTCGGAGAGGTAGGAGGGAGCGAGGCCGTGAATGGCCTTGTAGGTGAGGATGAGGATCTTGAAATCGATCCTCTGGGGGATGGGGAGCACGTTGAGCTGAAGAAAGTTGTCTCTCGTCCAGGACTCGAGATCCCGCCTGTGTACAACGACGACAGCAAGATTACATTGGTAAAGCAGCTCTCACGTCGGGAGGACGTCCCAAGGCGCTGGACAGTGTACAGCATTTCAGACCCGAGCCCGGGTCAGGAGAGGGGAGGGATTTGATAAATTTAATATGTTTAATGTGTATATTCAGGACATTAAAGATCCCTCAGTGTATCCGCACCTCAATTGGAGTGACCTGGTCCTCGCCTTCAAAGCCCTCCACCACAACACCACCACCACCAATAATAACTTGCACTTATATAGCGCCCTCCACACAGGGTACCATCTCCAAGTGCTTGATAGTGGCGAAGCCTGACTCCGAGCCGGGGGTGGACTGGGGTCAGGGAGAGGTGGCCGTCAGCACGATCGAACAGGAAGGTTTTCGGGCAGGACGTGAAAAATGGGGGAGATGGGACAAGGCCGGATCGAGTGAGAGTGGTCCGGAGTTTCAGGGCATAGTGGCCGAAAGCGCGACCTTCAAGTGTGGGGCGGAGGGTGCGATGGGGCGAGCAAGAGGCCGGTCGGTGCCAGTCGAGCGGAGATGGCGGGTGGAGGATTGGGGAGTGAGGAGGTCTGAGGGTAGGGTGGTGCCAAAGAGTGAAAGGATTTGGGCACGGACTTGCTCCTCCCTACATCTGCGCTGTCCAAACCCGTTACCAACCTGTCCACTCCCTCTGCTCAGCGCGCTCCAGCCTGCTTCACGTCCCCCACCTTGCCCACCCCACCATTGGCAGGAGGGCGTTCAACCTCTCTGCCCCACCCTGTGGAACTCCAGCCCACAGTCCCTCCACCTCACCCTCTCTTGCCTCCTTCAAGTCCCGTCTCAAGACCCTCCTCTTCGACTGTGCCTTCGGTCACCCTCCTACCCCCATTCTCCCTGCCCTCAATCCTCCCTGATCCCAACCACCAGCTCGGGTGCAGATCCCTGACTGTTCAGGGCCTTGTGACGTCCTCCTGACCTGAATGGCGCCGTGTAAATGTCATTTGTAGTTGTCGTTGACATTACAGAGTCCTGTAGCTCAGTGGTTAGAGCACTCGCTTTGCAAGTGAGAGCTCTAACCACTGAGCTACAGGACTCTGTAATGTCAACGACAACTACAAATATATACTACAAATATTCGCCCACAAATATACGGTCAATTCACTTTACAGTCTATTCTGCGAAGCGCTCTGAGACGTCGAGAAGACGTGAAAAGCGCTATATCAAATGCAAGGATTATTATTAACATATTATTACATCATTAATGCTTAGGAACTTCAGGACCAACAACAGCAGTTTATTTTTTTCAGCTTTTATTTCATTCACATTCTGGATATATGCTTCTAGGTTTTTGCTCAGACTATTGAGCATTTCCCACACATGTGTGGCCTCGGTTTGTCCTGTGTGGAGCGTACACTCTCACCCACCAGAGATTATTAGGTGCAAATTGGCAAGAGCCAAGGCTTGCTTGAACCCCCCCCCCCCCCCCGCCCGCCCCCAAGAGTGGGTATTTGGGGGTGGGGGGGGGGTTAACTGCTGCAGTTTAACCAGTTACACCACACTGGTATGCTTCCCGCAGGTGGTCGGTCATGGATACAATCCTAGAGTACTGTACAGCAGCCTGGATCAGAACCAGACTACCAAGCCCACATAGAGGGTTGCTGCAACTCAACTCTTCCTTTGCCAGTTGTATCACCATGAGCCAGTTCAGGTGTGAGGAGACTTCCCACTGCCCCCAACTCCTGCTTACCTCCCCTGCGGAGACAAGCACAATGCACAACAACAACTTGCACTTATACGGTGCCCTCCACACAGGGTAGCGTCTCAGAGCATACATCAGTAACATGCATCAGCAGCAATATAAGCTTACTCCATCGTTAGATGACGGTGTTCAGTTCTGAGCTTCCCCATTACAGGAAGGATATAGAAACAACGGAAAAAGTGCAGCGGGGATTGACTGGGTTGTTGCGGAGGAGGGAGGGGGGGGTTCGGATCTGAAAAAGGACTCGAGAAGTTATGGCTTGTTCTCCCTGAGCGGCCTGAGAAGTGGTCCTGGTTCATATCTCCTCGTGAATTTGCTGCTCAGTGAAAATGGCGTCTCTGAGAACAATCTAGTATCGCTTGTTATTATCTGTCAAGTCCATCAACCCCATCTCTCATCCATAACTCCCTCTCTTTCATATTCATCAACTCTTTCTCACATCGAAAACTCCTTCTCTCTTTCGTATCCATCAATTTTCTCTCCCTCTCTCACATCAACTCTCTCTCTCTCTCTCTCATTCATCAAACCCCCAACCCCCCTCTCTCTCTCTCTCGCTCTCACATCAATCATAACTCAAGTCTCATATCTCTATCTCACACATGCACACACACACACAGACCTCAATCTCTGTGAGAAAAGGAGCTACAACCCTCCCCCTCCCACCGACACTCTGGGGCAACAGAAGCTGAGTCCCAGGCCTGACCATTCTCTCTCTGTTCCTCTCTTGCCATTCACCCTCCCCTTCCTCACTCCAGTCTGAGCCAGGCTTTGCTCTCCTCCACCTCCTGCTTGACGACCAGAAGCAGCTCACACACATCCTCAGCGATCTGTCCCTCCAGGAAGACCCTGTGACAGAGAAACACAAATATCTCTTTATACCTAACGCAAGTTTCCTTACTCCCCACGCGTGTAAGTAGGAAGTAGGAACCCGGTAGTTAGTCGACTGGCGGTTTGGCTTTCCGGGGGTAATAATCGCTCCACTCAGAAAATGTGTTCACTCAATCCACAGCTGTTTGTGGGACAGACGCTGCTGTGCACAATTGGATGCTGTGTTTCCTTCCAAAATATACAATCAATTCACTTTACAGTGAGCGCTTTGAGACGTCCAGATGACGTGAAACCTGGGTTTGATTCCTGGCGGGGCGAAACGTTGTGCAAGTTTCCTTACTCCACACACCTCTGTTCACCCAGCAGTAAGTAGTAGCCCAGTTCTTAATCGATTGGCGGATCATTTTTCTGGGGGGAATAATCGCTTCAAATAAATAAATTGTTTGTGACAGTTTGTGAGACACAGCTGTGTGAAATTGGCTGCCATGTTTCACCCACAAGACATACAGTCAATTCACTTCTATATTCTGTGAAGCGAAGATATGATAAGGCGCTATATCAAATGCAAGGATTATTATTTTTATTGTAATAATGCACTATGTAAAATGCATGATTATTCTTATTACCCTTTAGCTCAGACAGATGTCTGACCCAAATGGAAACCCATCACTTGGACCACACTTGAATGTGTACTCTCTAACCCCGGACAGAGGGATGTGCCCTGCCCGTCTTATCCAGGAAAGTATAGGGCGCAGGTTGGTGAGAGCCCAAGTTTGGGGCAAAACAAAAATGCGTGTCGGGAGTTTAACCAGCTAAAAGCATGCAGCATTCCCAGTGGTTACAATGGTGCCTGACCCAAGAGCGCTGGTCGGAGTGTAGAGGGAGCTTTACTCTGTCTCTAACCCTTATCTGGGAGTGTGGACGCACAGTGTAGAGGCAGCTTTGGTCCGTCTCTAACGCTGACCTGAGAGTGTGGATGGATAGTGCAGTGGCAGCTTTACGCTATCTCTCACCTCAGCTCCTCACTGCCTCCGATCCGTGCTGGGGATTTGAGCTTTGAGTCCAGGTTATAGTAGTGACCGTTCACCTCCCTGACTGCAATCCAGTGTCTCCTGCGTATGGGCAGGGTCACGAAGGCCAGAGTCACATTGGATGGGATGTTCAGAATGAATCCATACACCTGGGAGAGCACCAGAGCATCCAGAGACCTGCGGCGGGAGACAGAGAGACTTAATCAGAGACTTTCGCTCAGGACAGACATCTTGGAGAGCTTCACAATGATTCGTGTTTAAGAGATTGCAACAGCTTCAACAACAACAACATCAAATTACATTTGGACAAAATCTTTCATGTCTGGAGGACGTCCCAAAACTTCAGAGACGATGGGGAAAGAAGGGAAATTTGGTGGTGGTGATGATAAAGGCATTCCTGCAGACAGAAGTTTGTCTTAAATGAGATTTAAAGGTGGAGAGAGACCACGGGTCAATGGGTCCTCGACAGAGAATTTCAGAGAACGGGGTGTTCAGTGGCCGGAATATTGTCAATTGATGACGGACAGAGGGAGAAAAGGGACAACCAGGAGACTGGAAAAGCGATTGACAGGGCAGAGGGTGATAGAGAGGCGAGGCAGAGCCTGGGAAAGGAAGAAAGAGAACAGGGAGGGATTTCATAGAACCATGAAATTATACAGCACAGAAGGAGGCCATTCGGCCCATTGTATCTGTGCCGGCTTTTTTAGAAGAGCTACGCCAATCAATCCCACTCCCCCTGCTCTCTCTCTCTCCCCAAATAATTATCTACTTCTCGACTAAAAGTTGTTATTGAATCGGCTTCCACCACTTCCATCAGGCAATACATTCCAGATCCAAACAACTCGCTGTGTGAAAAACAATTCTCCTCACCTCCTGTTTCTTTTAACAAACTTTTTAAATCAATGCCCTTGGGTCCACCCGCCAGGGGAAACAGTTTCTCCTTGTTCACCCTATCGAATCTCCTCATAATTTGGAAAACTTTGATTAAGTCTCCTCTTAATCTTCTCTGCCCCAAGGAGAATAATCCCAGCTTCTCCAGCCTCTCCTCATAAGTGAACGAAGTCAATGATCGTGAAGGGAACGTGTTTGTGGGGTGGCGGAGAGAATCGGAGCTGGGGGTGGGTAGCTGGGAGACAAGGTGAGGATGGGGGAGGGGGCTGATTAAAGGCAAGGAAGTGACAGACCTGCGTTTGTCCCACCAAATGGGAGCGAGCCCCTGAGATACGAGGGCGGCCATGAGAATGTTGACATCGTAGTTGCCAGTCCCGAGGAGACTGCGGTGAGGGTTCAGCACGGTGCCAGGCGACAAACTGTGGAGACAAGGGTAAGAGATGGATTCATTTATTGGGTGGGGAGTCTGGCCCACAAGGAAACCTGCGAGAATCCCCCACAGGTTTCACCGATACGGTGGGCTCACTCACTCTTTCTCCCCAGAGGGACACACCCTGCTCCTACCTACCTGCCCGTACCCTCCGCTCCTCCGGCTCCGGTCTGCTCCACGTCCCCCGCCCCAATCGCCCTACCATTGGTGGTCGGGCCTTCAGCCTCTCAGCCCCGAGGCTCTGGAACTCTATCCCCCAGTGCCTTCGCCGCTTCCTCCCTTTCCTCCTTCAAGGCCGGTCTCAAAACCTTTCTCTTTGACCGTGCCTTCAGCTCCCCTCTCGACTCTCTTCCCCCTTCTCGCTCCCTCCCATCCCTCCCCTCACCCTGACCATTTCCCCCCTCCTCGCTCCCTCCCCTCCCCTCACCCTGACCATATCCCCCCTGCTCGGGTCATGACCCAACTGTGCAGCGCCTTGGGACGTCCTCCTGATGTGAAAGGCGCTTTATAAATGGAATCTTGTTGTTGTTTTTCTTGCTCCACTAAACCACCCGGACGATCTCCTCTTGCGTACGCACAGCCAGACTCCCCTGCACTCCCCTGTGTGTTATAATCAGGACAACAACAGTAATTAACAATCCTTGCATCTGATACGGCGCCTTATCACATCATCGGGGACGTCTCAAAGAGCTTCACGGGGTACACTGGAGAGTACAGTGACCGTGTACGTTGTGGAAGAAACACGGCAGCAAATTCTGCTCTCAGCAGTGCCCCACAAGTGAGTGAGTGAGCAATTTGATCTGGGGGAGTGTTGGCCAGGACACTGAGAGAGAGAAACTCCCTTCTCTTTCCCAATAGCGGCCTGGGACGTCCACCTCGGTGTAACATCTCATCTGAAAGATAGCACCTCCGACAATGCAACACCGACCCCCACCCTCCACCACCCCACTCACCCCCCACCCCACCCAGCGTCAGCTTAGATGACGTGATTCCAAGGCCCGAAGAGGGGTCACACACCCCAAAACCTTCACCGCCTCCTGACCCAGAGGCAAGAGCGTTACCTCTGGGCAGTGCTGACACATGTCAGGACGTGTCAGCATCCCCCACCCCCTCTCGCCTCTCTACCCTCTCCTCGCTCCCTCCCTCCCTTCCCTCCCCTCACCCTGACCATTTCCCCCCCACTGCTCGGGTCCCGACCCAACTGTCCAGCGCCTCCCGACATGAAAGGCACTCTATAAATGAAATCTTGTTGTTGTTGTTGTACCGACTCCCCTGGCCAGTGCCCCCCCCCCCCCCCCCACCCCCCAGGCCTGGGTGGTGCACACGCGCTCAGACTGGGCCTGGCTCCACACACCGGCCGCATATCTCGTCCAGATCTTCTTTGCCGAACGCCCGGCACTGCAGTAGGTTGTTCAGGGCGTGGACGGCACACAGCTCCAGCCGCTGCTTCTCATGGTACAGGCCCTGCCCGTCCGGCTCACACATGGTCCTATTGCCACTCGCGCGCACAACGCTTGACGTCCTGTCCCGGGTTTGGCCGCAATTCCCTGTGTCCGGCTCCGGCAGTGAGTCTGGTCACCAGGGCAACAAGCCCGGTCTGTGGTCCCAACACAAGTACTCCAGGCCTCGACTTCCTGTAGCCAGGCCTCGACTTCCTGTAGCCAGGCCTCGACTTCCTGTAGCCACGCCTCGACTTCCTGTAGCCAAGCCTCGACTTCCTGTAGCCAGGCCTCGACTTCCTGTAGCCAGGCCTCGACTTCCTGTAGCCACGCCTCGACTTCCTGCAGCCAAGCCTCGACTTCCTGTAGCCAGGCCTCGACTTCCTGTAGCCAAGCCTCGACTTCCTGTAGCCAAGCCTAGACTTCCTGTAGCCACGCCTCGACTTCCTGCAGCCAGGCCTCGACTTCCTGTAGCCAAGCCTCGACTTCCTGTAGCCAGGCCTCGACTTCCTGTAGCCAGGCCTCGACTTCCTGCAGCCAGGCCTCGACTTCCTGTAGCCACGCCTCGACTTCCTGTAGCCAAGCCTCGACTTCCTGTAGCCAGGCCTCGACTTCCTGTAGCCAGGCCTCGACTTCCTGTAGCCACGCCTCGACTTCCTGCAGCCAAGCCTCGACTTCCTGTAGCCAGGCCTCGACTTCCTGTAGCCACGCCTCGACTTCCTGCAGCCAAGCCTCGACTTCCTGTAGCCAAGCCTAGACTTCCTGTAGCCACGCCTCGACTTCCTGCAGCCAGACCTCGACTTCCTGTAGCCAAGCCTCGACTTCCTGTAGCCAGGCCTCGACTTCCTGTAGCCAGGCCTCGACTTCCTGTAGCCAAGCCTCGACTTCCTGTAGTCAAGCCTAGACTTCCTGTAGCCAAGCCTCGACTTCCTGCAGCCAAGCCTCGACTTCCTGTAGCCAGGCCTCGACTTCCTGTAGCCAAGCCTCGACTTCCTGTAGTCAAGCCTAGACTTCCTGTAGCCAAGCCTCGACTTCCTGTAGCCAAGCCTCAACTTCCTGTAGCCAGGCTTCGACTTCCTGTAGCCAAGCCTCGACTTCCTGCAGCCAGGCCTCGACTTCCTGTAGCCACGCCTCGACTTCCTGTAGCCACGCCTCGACTTCCTGTAGCCACGCCTCGACTTCCTGTAGCCAGTACAAGGACACACATCCGGCCTCGGGCCTGACTTCCGGTAAAACCCTTCAAGGCCTGACTTCCGCCGTGGCGGGTCACAATGTCGGGGTCACGGGCGGCCTGTGGGGGGCGGGGCCCGCGGGGCGTTCATTATTTTTCTACAATTTTGTTTCATTTCCGCTCCCGGCGGCGGCGGCGGCGGCGGCTCCTTCTCCGTGAGTTTCTGCTTCCGGATGTTACGTCAGCGCGTCGCCTCCGCCGCGTCACCCACGCGCCGCGTCTCTCCCTCCGCCCCCCCGACGCAACGCGCTGACGTCACAATCATTTAAAGGGGCAGAGCCTGAGCAGCAGCAACAACAACAACAATCAGTAACAACAACAACAACAACAATCAGTAACAACAACAATCAGTAACAACAACAACAATCAGTAACAACAACAACAACGACAATATCAGTAACAACAACAACAACGACAATATCAGTAACAACAACAACAATCAGTAACAACAACAACAATCAGTAACAACAACAACAACAATCAGTAACAACAACAATCAGTAACAACAACAACAATCAGTAACAACAACAACAACAACAATCAGTAACAACAACAATCAGTAACAACAACAACAATCAGTAACAACAACAACAACAATCAGTAACAACAACAACAATCAGTAACAACAACAACCAGTAACAACAACAACAACAATCAGTAACAACAACAACAATCAGTAACAACAACTACAACAATCAGTAACAACAACAACAACAATCAGTAACAACAACAACAATCAGTAACAACAACAACAATCAGTAACAACAACAACAACAATCAGTAACAACAACAACAACAACAATCAGTAACAACAATCAGTAACAACAACAACAACAATCAGTAACAACAACAAAAACAATCAGTAACAACAACAACAACAATCAGTAACAACAACAACAACAATCAGTAACAACAACAACAACAATCAGTAACAACAACAACAACAATCAGTAACAACAAAAATCAGTAACAACAACAACAACAATCAGTAACAACAACAACAATCAGTAACAACAACAACAATCAGTAACAACAACAACAACAACAATCAGTAACAACAACAACAACAACAATCAGTAACAACAACAACAACAACAATCAGTAACAACAACAATCAGTAACAACAACAATCAGTAACAACAACAACAACAATCAGTAACAACAACAACAATCAGTAACAACAACAACAATCAGTAACAACAACAACAATCAGTAACAACAACAACAACAACAACAATCAGCGCCACCATCGCCATTTTGTCCCTCCCTCTCCGGCGTTCCACTCGTGCGCTCGCCTCGCAAGTGAGAGGATCCGGGTTCACTTCCCGGGCAGGGAGACACCGTGGAGAAGTGTCGTTGCTCCCCACGCGCCTCCGTTTACCCGGCAGTAACCAGGAACCCGGTTGTTAGCCGACTGTTGTTGTTGTTGTTGTTGTTGACTGGCGGATCCCACTTTCCAGGGGTAATAATCCCTCCAAAAAAGTAATAATTTGGTTCACTCAATCCCCGACGCTGATGTGCGCCATCGGCTGCTGCGTTTCGCCCACAAAATGTACAGTCAATTCACTTTGCAGTCTATTCTGTGAAGCGCTTTGGGACGTTTCAAAGAAGTGATGAGGATTATTATTATTATTTTATAACAAGGAGTTTAAGGAGTCCTGTGGCTCAGTGGTTAGAGCACTCGCTTTGCGAGCGAGAGACCTGAGTTCAATTCCAGGCAGAGGGCCAAACCTCGGGCAAGTTTCCTTACTCCACACAGAGCCTAATAATAATCCCTCCAAAACCAAAAACAATAATAAATTGGTCATTTTCAATCTACGGCTGTTTGTGGGACATTGCTGTGCGCCATCGGCTGTCGCGTTCGCCCACAAATATACAGTCAATTCACTTTACAGTGTGTTCTGTGAAGCGCTTTGGGACGTCTTCCCGACGTGAAAAGCGCTATATCAAATGCAAGGATTATTATGATTATTATAAGTATTATTATTCTCTCCCTCTCCTGTTGTCTCTCTCTATGCCTGTGTCTCTCTTGCGTTGCCTCTCTCTCTCTCTCTCTATCTATCTCTGTCTCTTTCTGTCTCCCCACTGTTGCAGGATGCTTCAGGCCGCTCTCGGCAGGAGGGAGCTCCGGGCTCTGGGTGCTCTGAGCAGGAAGGTTCAGAGCTCCAGGTCCAGGAAAGCGGAGAAAGAGCGGGGACGTGGAGAGAGACAGAGCGAGGGACAGGGAGAGAGACAGAGCGAGGGACAGGGAGAGAGACAGAGCGAGGGACGGGGACCAGCACAGAGCAAGGGACAAGGACAGAGTGATCACCAGACACAGAGCGAGGGACATGGACAGAGTGAAGATCACAGCTTTAAGACATGGGTCAAGGAATACAAGGAATGCTTCATCCCTTTCTCTCGACTGAGGCTCCTGTCAATGGTGCTGCAGGTAACCCCACACTCACACACCAGCTCAAACTCCCTCTCCGTGCTCTCTCGCACACACTTGTGCATTCACGCGATCGTAACGCTTGCACGCTCTCACTGCCCGCACGCGCAACTCCCAAACTCGGGCTTACAGTCAGTCGCTTGCACGCCCACCCACGCCCACGCTCCCTCGCACTAAGTCCTGTGGCATAATGGTGAATGCACTCGGCTGGCAAGCGAGAGGACCCGGGTTCGATTCCCGGGCAGGGCAAAACCTCAGGCAAGTTTGTTCATCCCACCCACCTCTGTTTACGCCGACAACAAGATTACATTTGTGGAGCACCTTTCACGTTGGGAGGACGTCCCAAGGCGCTGGACGGTGTGTAGCATTTCAGACCCGGGCTGGGGTCAGGGCGGAGAAGGGAGGGGAAGGGGGTGGGGGGCGACTGATGGATGGTCGAAGAGGAAGGTTTTGAGGCGGGACTTGAAGGAGGGCTAAGGAAGGGGGGGGCGAGGCGGAGTGATTGGGGGATGGAGTTCCAGAGGTTGGGGGCAGAGTGGCTGAAGGCCAATGGTTTACGCAGCAGTAACTAGTAAACAGAGACCCAGCTGCCAGTCGATTGGGGCATCACTTTCTGGGGTGATAATCCCTTCCAGAGAGAAAAAACGATGTGGTGGCTTTTCACCCCTCCAAAATAAAAAAAAAAGAAATAATAATAATTTGGTCACCCAACTGTTGGGGGGAAACCGCTGTGTGCAATTGGCCGCCGTGTTTGGCTCACAATACGTACACAGTCAATCCGCTTTCCAGTATATCCTGTGAAGCGCTTCGAGGCATCTCAACGACGTGAAAGGCGCTATATCAAATGCAAGAAATGTTATTATTGTGGCTCACACACAGACCCTCACATTTGTGATCACCTCACACTTACTCTCCGACTCTCCCACTCTCTTTGACTCTCGTCCTTTCCTCTCCAACTCTCTCTCTCTGTCTCTCTCTCTCTCTCTCTCTCTCTCTGTCGCTCTCATTCTATCTGTCGTTCCATCTCAGTCACTCCCTCCATGGTGTCTCTCTCTCTAAATCCCTCTCGCTGTCTGTCAGTCGCTCTCTTTCTCTCTGTCACTCTCTCGCTCTGTCTCTCTCTGTCACAATCTCGCTGAGTTACTCGCTCTCTGTCAGCCATTCTGTCTCCATCTCTCAGTCCTGTAGCTCAGTGGTTAGAGCACTCGCTTTGCAAGTGAGAGGCCTGAGTTCAATTCCAGGCAGAGGGCCAAACCTCGGGCAAGTTTCCTTACTCCACACAGAGCCTAATAATAAACCCTCCAAAACCAAAAACAATAATAAATTGGTCATTTTCAATCCACGACTGTCTGTGGGACATTGCTGTGCGCCATTGGCTGCCGCGTTCGCCCACAAATATACAGTCAATTCACTTTACAGTGTGTTCTGTGAAGCGCTTTGGGACGTCCTCTCCCGACGTGAAAAGCGCTATATCAAATGCAAGGATTATTATTATTATGATTATTATATTCTCTCTGTCACACTCTCAATCACTCTCTGTCAGTCACTCTCCCAGTCACTGTCTCTGTCACTCTATCTCTCACGCAGTCACTCTCTCTGTCTCACACATGCACGCACTCTCTCTCCGAGTCACTCTCTCTCTCTCTCTCTGTCTCTCTGGCTCAGGACATGCCGTTGAATCCGCACTGGGATCGGAACCAACTCCTGAACTTCGTGAAGGAGACGGAACCTCTGCTTCTGAAGCAATATCACAGCGAACTGGACGATCTGAAGGTACAGAGAAGGTGTGCGCGAGAGTGCGCGTGTGGGCGTGCGTTTGTCGGGCGGTGCGTACGGGTGTGGGTGAGAGACACGACGTGCGTGAGGGAGAGTACGTGCGTGAGGGTCAGAGAGAGTCGGAGAGAGAACGTGTGAGGGTCAGAGAGAAAGGGAGAGTGAAAAACAGGAGTGAGAGAATCGCAGAGAGAGAGAGAGAGAGAGAGTCGGTATGTAACAGACAGAGAGCATGAGAGTTAGAATGTGTGTGTGGCAGAGAACAAGGGATTGTAGAGTGTGAGCCTCAGTGTAGTGACTGTGAACACGTCTCGATTCGGTGAAGAATAAAAAAAAAAGGTCGATCTCAAGACCCTTCCCTTCGACCGTGCCTTCGGTCGCCCTCCTACCTCTAACCTTTCTCTCTCCAGTACCTTCAGACGTTCTCCCGACGCGAAAGGTGTGACGAAAATGTAATTTGTTGTTGTTGTGGACCCTGACTGACCCTTCTCTCCCAGTCACTCTGTCTCGCTCTCTCTTTCATTCTCAGTCACTCTCTCTTTCTCTCTCTCTCACTCTCTCTCTCTCTCTCTCTCTCTCTCTGTCACTCTTTCTCTCTCAGCCGCTGTCTCAGTCACTCTCTCATTGTCCTTCACTCTCTCCGTCACTCTTCTGTCACTCTTTCTCTCACTTTGCCGTTCACTGGTCACTCTTTCCCAGTCACTCCCTCAGTCTGCCTCTCTCTCTCTCTCTCTCTCTCTGTCTTTCTCAGTCACTCTTTCTCTCTGTCGCTCTTTCTCTCTCAATCTCTATCTCAGTCACACTCTCTCTGTCACTCTTTCTCTCTCAGCCTCTAGGTCAGTCACTCTCTCTCTCTCTCTCTCTCACTCTTTCTCTCAACCTCTATGTCAGTCACTCTCTCTCATTGTCCTTCACTCTCTCGCAGTTACCGTTTCTCTCTCGGTCACTCCTCTGTCACTCTTCCTCTGTTTCTCTCTCTCTCTCTCTCTCTCTCTGGTCATGGTTTACAGACGGTTTACGAGCCCATTAACCCGGACAAAGACTCGTTCCCGGAGGAGACAGTGAGTGAGGGGGATCGTCAGGACCGGGAGTGGAGATTGCTTCAGACGCTGAGTAACATGTTGGAGCAGGGAAACTTCACTCTGCTTCCCCAGGAGACAGTCGCCAGCATCCTGTCCCAGCCGAAGAACACCCAGGTAGTCAAGCGCTTTGAGACATCTGTTCCTGCGTGAAAAGCAGCCACTACTCCCCGAAACTCTGGAACACTCTCCCTCTTCCTTGCGTTGCCTCCTCCCCTCCTTCCTCATCTTCAGGTTGCGCCTGAAGACCGTCTTGAGTTCAAGGTCCTCATCCTCACCTACAAGGCCATTCACGGCCTCGCTCCCTCCTACCTCTCCGACCTACTATCCCCCTACCTACCTGCCCGTACCCTCCGTTCCTCTGGCTCCGGTCTGCTCCACATCCCCCGCCCCAACCGCCCTACCATCGGTGGCCGAGCCTTCAGCCTCTCAGCCCCGAGGCTCTGGAACTCCATCCCCAGTGCCTTCACCGCTTCCTCCCTTTCCTCCTTCAAGGCCGGTCTCAGGACCTTTCTCTTTGACCTTCAGCCTTCAGCTCCGCTCTCGACTCTCTACCCCCTCCTCGCTCCCTCCCTTCCCTCCCCTCCCCTCACCCTGACTATTTCCCCCCAAGGCTCGGGTCCTGACCCAACCGTACAGCGCCTTGGGACGTCCTCCCGACGTGAAAGGCGCTCTCTAAATGGAATCTTCTTGTTGTTGTTGTTGTCCTCTTCGATCTTGCCTTCGGTCACCTCCCTCCCACCATCCCCCCCCCCCCCCCCACCCGGCTCCCCCACTGTCAACCTCTCTACACAAGGGACGCAGTTGTTGTTCTATAAATAGCTTGTGCATTTACATATATATTTATAGAGTTTATGTGTTTATAGTTATTATGGTTGTTAGTCAATTGGAGGATCACTTTCCAGTAATAATCCCTTACAAACAACATAAATAAAATAATAATTTGGCCACTCAATCCACGCGTGCCTTCAGCTCCCCTCTCGACTCTCTACCCCCTCCTCGCTCCCTTCCTCCCTGACCATTTCCCCCACTGCTCAGGTCCCGACCCAACTGTCCAGCGCCTTGAGACGTCCTCCCGACCTGAAAGGCACTCTATAAATGCAATCATGTTGTTGTTGTTGTTGACTGTTTGTGGGACGCTGCCGTACCCAATGGGCTGCCGCGTTTTGCCCACAAAATACAGCCACTACCCTTTACGGTATACTCCGTGAAGCGCGTTGAGACTCTCAACGATGCGATAAGGTGCTATATCAAATTCAAGGTTTATTATTATTATTATTATTATACACCTGAGTTGCGGTGAAGTGCATTGCGAGGTCCATCTGGTGTGAAGGTCGCTGTCTAATTTTAGCGCGTGTTGCTGTTTTTGTCTCAGGTCAAGGTAGACCTGAAGCACTATGAATACGTCCGGTTTTGGGTCCTGGGAAAGCGCTTCGATATTCTTCCTTTGCTCCTGACTCCTGAGACCACCGAATTCTTTTTCAGGAGAAAAGAGGCTGAACGCAAGTGGTAAGACGTTGCTCGAGTCGGTGTACAGATACGTGTGTGTGTGTGTGTGTGTGTGTGAGTTGAGGCCAAGATAATGGGAAGCCTTAATTTTCAGGTCGTCTCTCCCTGTTGGTTATGGACCCCGGTAATTCAGTGGTTAGAGCACTCGCCTCGCAAGCAATGCGACCCGGTTCAATTCCCGGGCGGGCAAAGCCGTTGGCAAGTCTCCTTACTCCACAAGCCTCTCGTTTCCCTGGCGTTAAGCAGGAACCCAATCGTTAGCAGACTGCGGACCACTTTCTGAGTCACTCAATCCACGACTGCGTGTGGAAAACTCTGGGCACATTTGTCTGCTGTGTTCCGTCACGCAAAATACAGTCACTGCACCTTAAGGCATATCGTGTGAAGCACTTTTGAGATATCTTGACAACTGTGAAGCGCTTTGGGACGTCCTCCCGACGTGAAAAGCGCTATATCAAATGCAAGGATTATTATTATTATTATTGCGATGAGGCACTACTATCGATCGCAAGGATTCCGTTGATCCTAACAACCTTTGGATTTGATACGACGACACCAACAACTTGGATTTACGCAGCGCCCTCTCTACGCCGGACGGCGTCTCAAAGAGCGCGTTACAGTTTAGGATCCCGGGCCCGAGCCGGGGGAGGGGTGGGGATCATTGAGACATCTCAAAGCGCTTCACGGAACATACTGCAAAGCAATTGTGTATTTTGTGGACAAAAATGATGACTATATTTCTAGCTTGGCGTGTTTTGATCCCCCCTCTCACTCTCTCTCTCTCTCTCTCTGTCTCTCAGGCTGTATTTCAAGCGTGTGGTGATGATCGCACGTCTGAAGGAGAGCCACATGGTCCTCAAGTGCTTCAAGGAGTTGCCTCTGGAGGCCTTGGAGCAGACTCTGCCCAGCGTCAGACCCCGATTCTCCATGGTGGACGCGACGCTCCTGAACCTCATGCTGGTGGGAGGTGGAATCATGCTCTTCATCAACGTGGGGACTGTGCTCCTCATGGACTTCAAACTCGAGCTCCCCCACATCCTCCTCCTCCTCCTGGTGGTCATGGGTTTCCGCTGGTGGAAGGCCTTCACTGAGAAGCGGGCTGGCTTGACCCTGCAGCTCACCCACATCCTCTACTACAAGAGCACCTCCAACAACCGGGACCTACTGGTGGCCCTGAGTGACCGAGCCTGCGAGGAGCAATTCAAGGAGCTCATCTTGGCCCAGACCTTCCTCCGTAAGCCCCTCCGCCAGGGGGAGAAGAGCCCAGGTCAGCCTCATCGCCGCTCCCTCATGCTCTCGGACCTTCTCCACACCCCCCACCCCCTCCACTACACACACACACACACACACGCTTAATATGATAACTATAATAATCCTTGCATTTGATATCGCGCAGTATCGGAGTCCTAATGTAATCTAACATTAATATAATCGTGGAGTCCTGTAGCTCAGCGGTTAGAGCACTCGCTTTGCAAGTGAGAGACCTGAGTTCAATTCCAGGCAGAGGGCCAAACCTTGGGCAAGTTTCCTTACTCCACACAGAGCCTAATAATAATCCCTTCAAAACCAAAAACAATAATAAATTGGTCATTTTCAATCCACGACTGATTGCGGGACATCGTTGTGCGCAATTGGCTGCCGCGTTCGCCCACAAATATACAGTCAATTCACTTTACAGTCTATTCCGTGAAGCGCTTTGAGACGTCGAGAAGACGTGAAAAAGCGCTTTATCAAATGCGAGGAATATTATTATTATTATTAGGTCTCAGAGCGCTTTGCAGAATACACGGCAAAGGGAATCGGGGGGGGGGGGGGGGGGGAGGGGTAAGAGGGAGCGGGGAGGGAAGAGAGGGGTGAGAGCGAGTGACTGATGCCCTCCGTCTCCTCGCCGCAGATCACTTTCACCGTGCGATCCAGCAGCAGCTCGAGGAAGAGGTGTCATCTTGGCTCCATCAGAAATCGGGGGTCAAAGTTCACTTCAATGCCCACCGTGCCTTAGCCAACCTCACCCACCTCCGAGGGGAATTAAAGAAGGCGCCCGTGGGGGGTCGGGGGGAAGGGGAGGTAGGCGGCGGGGGAGTAGGGGGAAAGGGGAATAGGGGATCAGAGGGAGGAGTAGGGGGTGCAGGCGAGTAGAGGTGAAGGACAAGGGAAGTGGGCGGGGGTGGGGGGGGAGAGATAGGGGGTAAGGGGGGAAGGGGAGCGAGGGAGAAGGGGATTAGGGGGAGGAGTAGGTAGGAGTGAGAGTCGGGGAAGAGGGGGAGTAGGCAGGGAGGGGGGAGTAGAAGGGTGGAGGGGAGTCAGGGAGTGCACGAGAGAGAACCCTGGATTTCCATATTAAAATCTTCAATCCATCCGGTGTCCCTGTGGACCTGTAGCTCAGTGGTTAGAGCGCTCGCCTCACGAGCGAGAGGACCCGGGTGGGGCAAAACCTGCGGGTGGGTGATGGGGTGGGGTGGGGGGGCGGCGGGTGGGGCGGGGGGCGCGGAGTTCTGGATTAACTGGATATTGGGGCAAGAGGAACTGCGGAGATTCCGCGCCGGAACCAGTCGGTCTGAACCAAGAAAATATTTAGTTGACCGAAGATAATACGGGGCAGCGTTCCAATAACTGGGAGGGAGAGAGGGCTTTGGGTCAGTGAGCGAGGAGTCCGAGGATCCCACTCTGTGATTTCCCTCACTCCCGGGGGCTGGGAATCTGATGCCAGGGACGAGGGACGTCAGTTGCGCGGAGAGGCCGGGATCGTTGTCCTGAGAGCAGAGAAGGTCGAGAGGAGATTTTTGTGGGTGTTCCAAAATAAAGAGTAAACACGGAGAAACGGTTTCCCCCGGTGGGTGGGTGGGTCGGTCACCAGGGGACACCCGGTCGGTATAAGATAATCGGGAAAAGAACCAGAGCGGAGATGGGAATTATTATTATTATTTTTTTTTAAACGCAGAGAGTTGTTAACGGTCTGGAATTCACTGCCTGAAAAGGGTGGGGGAAACCGATTTGAGAGCAGCTTTCGAAAGGGAATTGGAGTGGGTACTGGAAAAGAAACACCGTGCCGGGCTAATGGGGGTAATGGTAATAAGAATAATCCTTGCATTCGGCAAAGCGGCTTATCACGTCATTGAGACGTCTCGAAAGCCCTTCGCAGAACACACTGCGAAGTGGATCGACTGTATATTTTGTGGGTGAAACGCGGCAGCCCACCTGCGCACAGCAGCGTCCCACAAACTGTCGCGGATTGAGCGACCAAGTTATTATTATTTATTTGGTGGCATTATTACTTCCGGAAAAGCGATCCACCGGTTGACTTAACATTTAATACGACTTATGCAAAGTGTGAGTTATGTGAAACTTGCATAGAATATAAACTCTTCAACGGGCGATTATACGATTTAATGCCCATCAGACTTACGTGAGGTTTACTGTAGTAAACTGCAATAATCCTGATCTGACTTTCCTTCACACACACATACAGACACACACACAGACAACACACACACAGCGACACACACACACAGATAGACACATACACACATAATAATAATAACAATAATAATCCTTCCATTTGATTTAGCGCTTTTCACGTCGGGAGAGGACGTCCCAAAGCGCTTCACAGAACACACTGTAAAGTGAATTGACTGTATATTTGTGGGCGAACGCGGCAGCCGATGGCGCACAGCAATGTCCCACAAACAGTCGTGGATTGAAAATGACCCATTTATTATTGTTTTGGGTTTTGGAGGGATTATTATTAGGCTCTGTGTGGGGTAAGGAAACTTGCCCGAGGTTTGGCCCTCTGCCTGGAATTGAACTCAGGTCTCTCACTTGCAAAGCGAGTGCTCTAACCACTGAGCTACAGGACTCCACAGACAGACAGACACACACAGACAGACACACACACACAGACACTGGCCGTTTATCTAAACGAGGAAGCGATTTGCTGGAGGTTTCAGTTACGTTTATGCAATGGCATCAACGCCAAGAGCTGAAGGAGGTGATGGGGAGCGTCTTGTACTCAGTCAGATGTGAGGTTGCTTCACTCCGGGTTCGAGAATACACTGTAAAGTGGATCGACCGTACGTTTTATGCTCGAAAGAGTGAGCGAGTGGGACTGGATGGGCCGCCCTGTCCCACAGCCAGGCCAGGCCAGGCACGATGGGCTGAATGGCCTCTTCATGTGCTGTAGCTTGTGCACTGCTCTGGCCCTGGCCTTGGCCACCGGCTCTGGCCCTGGTCGGCACAGGCTCACACACTGATGGTCCTGAACACTGTGAAGCCGCTGTGAGCCGTGGTGACCAGGACCCCAGGATAGCGCGAGGCCCAATGCAGCTCCTTCAGGTCGTTGTCGCCCTCGTGTACGAACAGGAGCTGTGGGGGCAGCCTGGCCTCCTCCGCCCCCGCCTCGCCGTCCCGCTCCACCGCCAAATCCCACTGGGTGACTCGGTCGTCGGCTCCTGCAGCGGCAAAGACCCCCGGGTCGGAGGGATGCCATTGCACCGACGTGATGGGGGCCGTATGCTGCTTAAACGTAGCCACACTCTGCCCCGTCTGCAACACAGAGATTCACAACTTTAATAGTAATATTCCCTGCATCTGACACAGCGGCTCCTCCCCTCCCCCTTTCCATCTTCCCTTCCCTCTCCTCTCCCCTCCCTCTCTCCCCTCCTCCCTCTCCCAGCGTCTCCAAGCGCTTCACAGGAGTCACCGTAAAATAAATTCACTGAGTGTTTTGTGGGCGAAACACGGCAGCCAACTGCACAGCAGCGCCTGTCCCACTAACAGTCATGGATCGGATTGACCAATTTATTATTGTTGTTGTTTTATCGACAACGTGATAAAGCTCTATATCAAATGCGAGGATTATTATTATTATTATTAGATAAACAGAGCCATGTGGAGTAAGGAAACTTGCCAGAGGTTTCACCCCACGCGGGAATCGAACCCGGGTCCTCTCGCTTGCGAAGCGAGTGCTCTAACCACTGCACTCCAGTGACTCACAGAACTCCAGTGAGCGGAGAGGAGGGGGGTTGACCTGAAGTGATGGTCCCGGAGTGAGATGGGGGTGGGGGTGGGGGGGGAGGAAGGAGGGAAGGATTGGAGTTCTGCAGCTCAGCGAGAGGACCTGGGTTTGTTTCCTGGGCCGGGGTGAAACCTTGGCCAAGTTTCCTTACTCCACGCAGCGGTTCATATACGTTAGTCGCTTTTCCGGGGGTAATAATCCCTTCAAAATAAATAATAATACTGTGGTGGCTCAATCCCTGACCGTTTGTGGGACAGACGTTGCTGTGCGCAATTGGCTGCCGCAGCAATTCACTTTACAGTATATTCTGTAATATACTTCGAGACCTAGATATTTAAAGCCAGGAATATTATTATTGTTGTTGGTGGTGGTGGTTGTTATTGATGTTGTGGTGATGGTCGTGTTGGTGGTGTCGTTGGTTGTGGTGTTGTTGGTGTTGGTGGTGATGGTGTTGGTGGTGTTGGTGTTGGTGGTGGTTGGGGGAGGTCTGAGCTCCACTGACCTGAAGCTGTCTCAGGTCCCAAACGGTTACAGCTCCGTCGTCCCCCCCTGACACAAGAAAAGGTTCCATCCGGTTCCAGCTGATCACGTTAACGTCTGAGCTGTGGGCGTTGGGCACCGAGATCATACAGGCAGCCGAGGGGGGAGCCCTGATATCCCACACCCTCAGAGAGGTGTCTACAGAGCACGAGGCAAATACCTGCCAAGTGAGAGAGAGTGAGAGTGAGAGAGGGGGGGAGTGAAAGAGAGAGGGAGTGAGAGAGAGAGAGAGAGTGTGTGAGAGAGAGTGAGAGAGATGGAGTGTGTGTGAGAGACAGAGACAGTGTGTGAGAGAGAGTGAGTGAATGAGATGTTTGTGAGAGAGAGAGAAAGGGAGTGTGAGGGAGCGTGACAGAGAGAGAGGGGAGTGTGTGAGAGACACAGAGAGAGTGAGAGAGAGAAAGAGAGAGAGAGAGAGAGAGGGAGCGTGTGAGAAAGAGAGTGAGAGAAAGCAAGCGTCACGTAGCGAGAGTGTCAGAGAGAGTCAGAGAGCGGGAGTGTGAGAGAGAGGGTGAGAGTGCGTGGGCAAGATGGTGTGTGAGTGAGTGTGCGAGTGAGAGAGTGCGAGCGGCAGTGTGCGCGAGCGAGAGAGTGCGAGAGTGTGTGAGCAAGAGTGTGTGTGAGCGAGCTTGTGTGCGAGCGAGAGTGCGTGCGAGCGAGAGTGCGTGCGAGCGAGAGTGTGAGCGAGCGCGAGTGTGAGCGAGTGAGTGTGTGTGAGCGAGAGTGCGAGTGAGTGTGTGAGCGAGAGTGCGAGTGAGTGTGTGTGAGCGAGAGTGCGAGTGAGAGAGTGTGTGAGCGAGTGAGTGTGTGTGAGCGAGAGTGCGAGTGAGTATGTGTGAGCGAGAGTGCGAGTGAGTATGTGTGAGTGAGAGTACGAGTGAGAGAGTGTGTGAGCGAGTGCGCGAGTGAGAGAGTGTGCGAGCGAGAGTGCGAGTGAGTGTGCGAGCGAGAGAGAGCACGAGAGAGAGGGAGGAGAGATGTGAAAGAGCCGGGGAGAGCGAGAGAGAGAGAGAGAGAAAGAGAAAGAGAGAGACTGACCGTGGGCTCGTTGGGTGACCACTGCACGTCCTCCGCTGACTGGCTGTGCCCGGTCAGGGGTCTCTGATCGACGGACCAGGTGCCATCCTCCCGGGGTTCCCAAACATGGAGTCTCCCCTTCACGTCCCCCGTGACCAGCCGTCCTGCAACACAGAGACCCCCCCGGACCCCAGTGACCAGCCTGGAACACACTGACCCCATGACAGCACCACCACCACCAAAAAAAATGGCATGTGTAAAGCGCCTTTTTAACCGCGCCTTCACCTCCCCTCTCGCCTCTCTACCCCCTCCTCGCTCCCTCCCTTCCCTCCCCTCACCCTGACCATTTCCCCCCCCCCCCCCAATGCTCGGGTCCCGACCCTTATGTCCAGCGCCTTGGGGCGTCCTCCGGACATGAAAGGCACTCTATAAATGTAATGTTGTTGTTGCTGTTGTTAATGTCGAGAGGACGTCCCAAAGCCCTGGACAGTCGGGGATCAGGACTGGAGTGTGGGGGTGGGGGGTGGGAGCGGAGGGGGGGTTCGGGTTGGGATGAAGGAGGGCAGACAGGAGCAGCTGAAAGAAGTCGAAAAAAAGCGTCTTGAGTCGTGCCTTGAAGGAGGCACTGTGGTGGGTGTGGGGGGGGGGAACGAGGCGAAGGGACCGGGGGATGAAGTTATAAAGGATGGGGCCGAGGCTGGAGGTCGGGCAGGAGACACGGGAGCGGCCGGAGCCGCCCAAACGGAGGGAGGGAGCGGGCAGGCCGACGGGGGGGGGATCAGCAGTGCTGTCCCCTCTCAGCCTCGCGCGGGTCTGGCGGCGCTGGGGCCCGTGGTTCCCGCGCACTTGGCCATTCCGGCAGCCGGGAGCGGACTGCGACCCGGGATCCAGGAGGCGCTGGTGAAGAGGATCACAGAGAGAGAGAGAGAGAGTTACAGGAGACGGCCGGCGAGAGATCGGCCTTGTCCTGAGCCCGGAGGCGCGGAGGAGGTTGGAGCGGCCAAGAGCGGAGGCCGAGAGCGCGGGTGATCGGGCGAGGGGGGTGCCCGGCTCTGACCGGCGGGGTCGAGGGGGGGCGATTGAGGTCGGGGGTCAGGGAGAGGCGAGGCCGTGGTGGACCTTGAAGGTGAGAACCAGCCGGTAATCCGGAGACGACACCATGTTGCTCCGGTCTCTGCCCTGCGCAGGGAGCGCTGTGTAAATGCTTTCGGTCACACTCCTGCCCCCGCCCTCCCCCCCACACCCCCCCCCCAATCCCAACCGCCAGCTCCGGTCCAAATCCCTGACTGTCCAGCGCCTCGGGACGCCCTCCCAACGTGAAGGTCGCCGCGTGAATGTCCTTCTTGTTGTTGTCGAGAGACCTCCCGGGTCTCCTCAGCCCTCCCACCCCCCCCCCCCCGTCCCGTCTCCCTCCTCACCCCCTCACTCACCGGCGACCAGAGGGTTCCAGTCCAGCGCGTATCCCTCCGCCATGTGGCCGGTGAAGGAGGTCAGTGGTCGCTGCTCCTTCTGTCTCTTCTGGAGGAAGTGCGCCATCGCCTCGGGCACCTCCACGGCCTTCACCAACTCCTGCAGCCGCCACAGGTCAACCTGTCCCCGCTCCGACCACACAGCGGCCACCGGGGAGTCTCCCACAGACTGCACCTGGGGGGGGGGGGGGGGGGGTGCGGCGGGGGGAGGGGGTGAAGATAGTGTGCGTGAGAGACAGATATATCAAATGCAAGGATTATTATTATTATTATTATGGAGATAGTGTGTGCGTGAGACTGTGTGTGTGTGAGAGAGAGACTATGTGTGAGAGAGAGAGAGACTGTGTGTGAGAGAGAGAGAGACTGTGTGTGTGAGAGAGAGACTGTGTGTGAGAGAGAGAGAGACTGTGTGTGTGTGAGAGAGGGACTGTGTGTGTGTGTGCATGTGTGTGTATGAGACAGAAAGACTGTGCGCATGTGTGTACGTGTGCAAGACTGTGTGCGTGAGAGACTGTGTGTGATAGACAATGTGTGTGATAAAGACATACATGTGGGTGTGATAGAGATTGTGTGTGTGTGCGATAGAGCCTGTGCGTGTGACTGCGTATGAGAGACTCTGTTTGTGTGTGTGTGAGACTGCGTGTGCCTGAGACTGCATGTGTGTGTGTGTGTGTGTGAGAGACTGCATGTGTGTGTGTGTGTGAGGGACTGTGTGTGTGTGACTGCATGTGCCTGAGAGACTGTGTGTGCGCATGAGACTGTGTGTGCGTGCGTGTGTGTGAGAAACTGTGTGTGTGTGCGTGAGAGACTGTGTGTGTGTGTGAGCGTGACAGACTGTGTGCGTGAGAGAACCTGTGTGTGCGCGTGAGAGAGACAGCAGCACACAGTACAGTGTGTGAGCGACACTCACCCTGACACGGTTGATGGTGCCGTGATATGGGATCATGGCGATCTCTAGCCTTGGCTGCTTCTCCTCATCCTCTTCATCATCATCATCACTGCTATCGGACTCCGAGTCTGAGCCCACCTTTGGCTCGGAGACCCGGACGTTGGACAGTTTCATCAGGATCAGCCTGAGAGACAACAACACATTACATTTCCGCAGCACCTTCACATCAGGAGGACGTCCCAAGGCGCCGGTGCAAGTGTTTTGGACCCGAGCTGTGGGGTCGGGATCGGGGAGGGTGGAGGGCGTGGGGGTGGGTGTGGTGAGGGAGGGTGACCGAAGGCACGGCCGAAGAGGAAGGTCTTGAGACGGGTCTCGGAGGAGGCAAGGGAGGGGGGCGAGGCGGAGGGACTGTGGGATGGAGTTCCAGAGGGTGGGGGCAGAGTGGCGGAAGGCCCGCCCACCAATGGTGGGGTGGGCAGGGCACAAAACACACAGCCTCTGCACTCTACAGTATATCCTGTGAAGCGCTTTAAGACGTCTCGACGACGTGATGATGATGATGATAATAATAATAATAATCCCTGCATTTGATACAGCGCCTCCTGACTAGTCGGCCTGCAACTCACTCTCCGATGGTGGGGACAGAGGCCGCTGAGCGGAGGGGGTGGACAGGTCGGTAAGGAGTTAGCAGATCACAGAGGTTGGGAGGAGCAAGGCCGCGGGGGGGGTGGGGCGGGCGGGCGGGGGCTTTGAAGGCAAGGACGAGGATTTTTGAACTCTATCCTCTGGGGGTGAGGGTGGGCGCGAGGGGGTGACGTAGCCTGGTGCGGGAGCTGCAGATTTCCGGGAATATCTGCGGCTTCTAGTAATAACAACAACCCTTGCACTCGACGTAGCGCTTTTCACATCTTCCCGACCTCTCAAAGCGCTTCGCAGGATAGACTGTAAAGTGAATTGGACCGTGTACTTGTGCGCGAAAAGCGGGGGCCAATCGCGCACAGCAGCGTCCCACAAACAGCCGTGGATTGAAGTGACCGATTTATTATTTCTTTTCCTTGAGGGATTATTATCAGGCGCGAGCGCGCGCGCGCGTCTGCGTGTGTGTGTGTGGAGTAAGGAAACTTATCCAACGTTTCACCCTGACCTGCCGGGGGGGAATCGAACTCAGGTCCTCTCGCTCGCTCGCGAGGCGCGTGCTCTAACCGCTGAGCTACAGGACTCCCGGCTTGTGGAGGGAGGCGCCTGCGAGGCTGCTCATCGCCCAATTATTATCATTATTATTTCATATTATCACGATTAATGATAATAATAATAATAATAATAATGATAGTGTTCCTTATTGAACGGCGACGGCCGGTGTCAGCCCGGGACCAGCTGTGGCGGACGTCAAAGTGTTTCTCGTTATGGACCGTTTCTGGTCGAAGCTCGAGAGTCGGGGGTCGCCCTCACCTGTTGGCTGCGGTGGTCTCGGCCTGCGTCCCCGCGCACAGGTACAGGCTGAGGGGGGCCGTGGACGCAGGTACCTCTGCGGCTGCCGCTCGGTCCTGCAGGATGTCGAAACTCAGACATGGCGCCCCTGGGGGGGGGGGGGAGAGAGAGTCACTCACTCACAGATACACACTGTCTCTCTCTCACTAACTCACTCAAAGACACACACTGTCTCTCTCTCTCACACTCACTCTCTCACAGACACACACTGTCTCTCTCTCACACACTCACAGACACACACTGTCTCTCTCTCTCTCTCTCTCTCACACACTCACTCACAGACACACACTGTCTCTCTCTCTCACTCACTCTCTCACAGACACACACTGTCTCTCTCTCACTCACTCACTCACAGACACACACTGTCTCTCTCTCTCTCTCTCACACACTCACAGACACACACTGTCTCTCTCTCTCTCACACACTCACTCAAAGACACACACTGTCTCTCTCTCACACACTCACTCACAGACACACACTGTCTCTCTCTCTCACTCACAGACACACACTGTCTCTCTCTCTCACACACACTCACAGACACACACTGTCTCTCTCTCTCTCTCTCACACACACTCACTCAAAGACACACACTGTCTCTCTCTCTCTCTCTCACACACTCACTCACAGACACACACTGTCTCTCTCTCACTCACTCTCTCACAGACACACACTGTCTCTCTTTCACACTCACTCTCTCAGACACACACTGTCTCTCTCTCTCACTCACAGACACACACTGTCTCTCTCTCTCACACACACTCACAGACACACACTGTCTCTCTCTCTCTCTCTCACACACACTCACTCAAAGACACACACTGTCTCTCTCTCTCTCACACACTCACTCACAGACACACACTGTCTCTCTCTCACTCACTCTCTCACAGACACACACTGTCTCTCTTTCACACTCACTCTCTCAGACACACACTGTCTCTCTCTCACTCACTCTCTCACAGACACACTGTCTCTCTCTCACTCACTCACAGACACACACTGTCTCTCTCTCTCACACTCACTCTCTCAGACACACACTGTCTCTCTCTCTCACTCACTCTCTCAGACACACACTGTCTCTCTTTCACACTCACTCTCTCAGACAGACACTGTCTCTCTCTCTCTCACTCACAGACACACACTGCCTCTCTCTCTCACACTCTCACTCACAGACATACACTGTCTCTCTCTCTCTCTCACTCACAGACACACACTGTCTCTCTCTCTCTCACACTCACTCTTACAGACACACACTGTCTCTCTTTCACACTCACTCTCTCAGACAGACACGGTCTCTCTCTCTCTCACTCACTCACAGACACACACTGTCTCTCTCTCTCACACTCACTCTCTCAGACACACACTGTCTCTCTCTCTCTCTCACTCACAGACACACACTGTCTCTCTCACACTCTCTCACTCACAGACATACACTGTCTCTCTCTCTCTCTCACTCACAGACACACACTGTCTCTCTCTCTCTCACACTCACTCTTACAGACACACACTGTCTCTTTCACACTCACTCTCTCAGACAGACACGGTCTCTCTCTCTCTCTCTCACTCACTCACAGACACACACTGTCTCTCTCTCTCACACTCACTCTCTCAGACACACACTGTCTCTCTCTCTCACTCACTCTCTCAGACACACACTGTCTCTCTTTCACACTCACTCTCTCAGACAGACACTGTCTCTCTCTCTCTCACTCACAGACACACACTGCCTCTCTCTCTCACACTCTCTCACTCACAGACATACACTGTCTCTCTCTCTCTCTCACTCACAGACACACACTGTCTCTCTCTCTCACACACTCACTCACAGACACACACTGTCTCTCTCTCTCACACTCACTCTCACAGACACACACTGTCTCTCTCTCACACTCACTCTCTCTCAGACACACACTGTCTCTCCCTCACACTCACTCTCTCTCAGACACACACTGTCTCTCTCTCTCTCTCTCAGACACACACTGTCTCTCTCTCTCTCACTCACATTCTCACAGACACACACTGTCTCTCTCTCACACTCACTCTCTCTCAGACACACAGTCTCTCTCTCTCTCAGACACACACTGTCTCTCTCTCTCTCTCTCACTCTCTCACAGACACACACTGTCTCTCTCTCACACTCACTCTCTCACAGACACACACTGTCTCTCTCACACTCACTCTCTCACAGACACACAACTCTCTCTCAGACACACACTGTCTCTCTCTCTCTCTCTCACAGACACACACTGTCTCTCTCTCTCTCACAGACACACACTGTCTCTCTCTCTCTCACTCACTCAGACACACACTGTCTCTCTCTCTCTCTCTCTCAGACACACACTGTCTCTCTCTCTCAGACACACACTCTCTCTCTCTCTCACTCTCTCTCTCTCACAGACACACACACTGTCTCTCTCTCTCTCACAGACACACACTCTCTCTCTCTCTCTCACAGACACACACACACTCTCTCTCTCACAGACACACACACTCTCTCTCTCTCTCACAGACACACACACACTCTCTCTCTCTCTCTCACAGACACACACACTCTCTCTCTCTCACAGACAGACACACGCGGCCTCTGACTCAGTAGTTACCGCTCTGGAGCTTCTCAAACACCAGATAAGCGCTGGGATCGCGCTCCATCTCCGCCTCCATCGCCCCCATCTCCGATTCCATCCCCATCCCCGGCCCCAGTGCGGCTTCAACCGGAACTTCCGGCGGCGGCGGCGGCGGCTCCTCCCCCGACACGTGACCCCGGTTCATCCCCGCGCGACATGTGGAGAAATGACGGTTTGTTTCCTCAGCGCCGGAAACCCGAACACCCGAGTCCCCGAACACCCGATACCCCGAACACCAGAGCCCCCGAACACCAGAGCCCCCGAACACCCGAGTCCCCGAACACCCGATACCCCGAACACCAGAGCCCCCGAACACCAGAGCCCCCGAACACCAGAGCCCCGAACACCCGAGTCCCCGAACACCAGAGCCCCCGAACACCCGAGTCCCCGAACACCAGAGCCCCCGAACACCCGAACACCCGAGTCCCCGAACACCAGAGCCCCCGAACACCCGAACACCCGAGTCCCCGAACACCAGAGCCCCGAACACCCGAACACCAGAGCCCCCGAACACCAGAGCCCCCGAACACCAGAGCCCCCGAACACCCGAACACCAGAGCCCCCGAACACCCGAACACCAGAGCCCCGAACACCAGAGCCCCCGAACACCAGAGCCCCCGAACACCCGAACACCAGAGCCCCCGAACACCCGAACACCAGAGCCCCGAACCCCTGAACCCCCGAACACCCGAACAATAACAACAAGATTCCATTTATAAAGCGCCTTTCACGTCAGGAGGACGTCCTGAGGCGCTGTACAGTTGGGTCAGGACCCGAGCATTGGGGAGATGGTCAGGGGAGGGGAGGGAAGGGAGGGAGCGAGGAGGGGGGAAATGGTCAGGGTGAGGGGAGGGGAGGGAGGGAGCGAGGAGGGGGAATGGTCAGGGTGAGGGGAGGGAAGGGAGGGAGCGAGGAGGGGGTAGAGAGTCGAGAGCGGAGCTGAAGGCTGAAGGTCAAAGAGAAAGGTCTTGAGACCGGCCTTGAAGGAGGAAAGGGAGGAAGCGGTGAAGGCACTGGGGATGGGGTTCCAGAGCCTCGGGGCTGAGAGGCTGAAGGCCACCGATGGTCGGGCGGTTGGGGCGGGGGATGTGGAGCAGACCGGAGCCGAACCCAAACCCCCAAACCCCAGAACCCCCGAACCCCCGAACATCAGAGCCCCCGAACACCCGAACCCCCGAATCCCACAACCCCCGAGCCCCCGAACCTCCGAGCCCCTGAACCCCCGAGCCCCTGAACCCCCGAGCCCCTGAACCCCCGAGCCCCTGAACCCCCAAGCCCCTGAACCCCCGAACCCCCGAATCCCAGTACACCCGAACCCCCGAACATCAGAGCCCCCGAACACCCGAACCCCCGAATCCCAGAACCCCTAAGCCCCCGAACCCCCGAGCCCCTGAACCCCCGAACACCCGAACCCCTGAATCCCAGTACCCCTAAGCCCCCGAACCCCAGAACACCCGAGCCACCGAACCCCCGAACATCAGAGCCCCCGAACACCCGAACCCCCGAAACCCCAAGCCCCGAACACCCGAGCCTGAGCCCCCGAACACCCGAGCCCCCGAACCCCCGAGCCCCCGAACCCCCGAACATCAGAGCCCCCGAACACCCGAACCCCCGAAACCCCAAGCCCCGAACCCGAGCCTGAGCCCCCGAACCCCCAAGCCCCCGAACCCCCAAGCACCGAACACCCGAACCCCCGAACACCTGAGCCCCCGAACACCCAAACCCCCGAGCCCCGTCTCAACGACGTCACAAGGAGTTACATCAAATGCAATGATTTTTATTATTATTATTATTATTATTATTATTATTACGGTAAGTTTAATCAACAGCGTGGAATTGATTACCAAAAAGCACGAGTTATTTGGACAGAACATATTTGTGTATCTAACTCAAAAGTACGAATGCTTCTTTTTAGTTTGCGAGCGCTGTAAGGCCAGCGGTTAGAGAGCCTCACAGGCACGAGGACCTGGGTTCGATTCTCGGCCACGGCAAAACCTCAGGCAAGTTTCCTTACTCCACACACAGACCTCTCTGTTTACGTACCAGTAAGTCGGGACCCGGTTGTCAGTCAGTTGGTGAATTGCTTTCGCGGGCGATAATAAAAAACATGGAGTGACTCGACCCACGAGTGTTTGTGGGACACTGCCGCGCACAGTTGGCTGCCGTGTCTCGCCCACAAAATACACAAACAACAGCAACAACAACAAGATTCCATTTATAAAGCGCCTTTCACGTCAGGAGGACGTCCCAAGGCGCTGCACAGTTGGGTCATGACCCGAGCATTGGGGGGGAAATGGTCAAGGGGAGGGAAGGGAGGGAGCGAGGAGGGGGGAAATGGTCAGGGTGAGGGGAAGGAAGGGAGGGAGCGAGGAGGGGGAAGAGAGTCGAGAGGGGAGCTGACATTTGTGAAGCCACTATCACGTCGGGAGCACGTGACAACGCGCTGGACAGTCAGCGATCGGGACCCGAGCTGGGGGTTGGGATCAGGAGGGTTGGAGGGCACGGAGGGGGACCCTAAGGCGCAGTCGAAGAGGAGGGTCTTGAGATGGGTCTTAATGGAGGCAGGGGAGGGGACAAGGCGAAGGGAATGTGGGGTGGGGGCAGATACCTGACCGCCGATGGTGGAGCTGACCGGGCGGGGGATGTGGATCAGGCCGCAGGGCGCTGAGAAGGAGCGGACAGGTAAAAAATGGTGAGCTTCCTGGTCAAAATAAAACCTTTTTTTTGTTGCAACAGTTGTGAAAGTTCTGTCTTCCCGGCGTGTCCCACTCCTGCCAACACGAGCGGTTACAGGATGCAGGATCTTATCACGCCTTCGAGACGTCTCAACCAATATACCGTGACGTGAATGGACCGTATACCTTGTGGGCGAATCGTGGGAGCCGATTGCGCACAGCAGCGTCCCCATAAACAGTCACGGATTGAGCGACCAAGTTGTTACTTTTTTAAGGAATTATTATCTCCGCCAAACGACTGACGATCCTACTTACTGCTGTGTAAACAGAGGTGTGCGTGGGTGTGTGTGTGTGTGTGGAGAGAGTAAACTTGCCTAAGGTTTCACGCTGCCTGGAGATCGAATCCCAGGTCTTCTTACTTTCGAGGCGCGTGCGCTAACGCCTGAGCTACAGGACTCCACCAAACGCAAGCTTTAGCCGTTGTAGATGGATATATTTAAGAATTGAACTTTCTTTTCCAATCGTTCAGCTTTCGCGATCCATTTTTCCATCCGCTATCTTCCGTTCGGCAGATTCCTCAATCCATTTCTCAGCGTCAGGGGTGGTGTTCAAGAAGTGAGCCAGCTTGGGCTCCTCTTCTTTAGCGTAAGACAGCATCATGTCAATCCAACGCACAAATTCATTCCAGCCCTTTACGAACATCAAAGAAAAAAACACTCGTCAGTAAATTAATAATAATAATCCTTACATTTGGTACAGCGCCTTATCACGTCGTCGAGGCTTCTCAAAGCGCTTCATAGCGCATAGTGTAAAGTGAATCGACTATATTTTGTGGGTGACCCGCGGCAGCCAATTGCACACAACAGCGTCCCACAAACAGTCGTGGATTGAGTCGCCCAATTTTTTATTATAAATTATTATTCCCCCCGCAAAAGCAACTCACCAATTGACTGACAACTGGGTCCCCCTACTGACTGGTAAGCAAACAGAGGCCGGTGTGTGGAGTCAGGAAACTTGCCTAAGGTTTCGCCCTGGTTGGGAATTGAACCCGGGTCCTCTCGCTTGTTGGGAAAAAGGAAGCCCGGGTTCGGTCAAAAGACTCGACAAACACCAAGTATGGCGTGACACACCTTTGGATGCTTTACTTCGATACCCAACAGGTAATAGCAATCATACAATACAAAGAAAGGTAAATGATCCAATAAGCAATACCAGAATGCAATGATTATATCAAAGCAGAATGATTATACTTGATTATATTATATAAAAAAAACATTCTTCACACGCGGTTAAGAAGTACTCATACTACCAGTTTACAGGGGTCAACAGCAGCCGTTCTTCGTCTTCCCTCTCCTGAGCCCGAGCAGTTTAGTGATATACTCCCAAACTTATGGTGACCCTCTGATCTCTGCTCCCAGGCTGACTATCTCCCTTTTTACACAGGTTTTTGGGGTGGTTTTTCCCAATTTCTGCACGTCTCTCCTGACCTTTGGTCTGACCGGACAAGATAACTGATGTTTTTCTAAAACGTGTCCTCCTTTCAGTTACCTCCCTCGGTCCTGTTTGTGCAGGAGGCCCACAAGCTCGGCTTCAACCTTGATGTATCAAGGATACATCTGTCTCCTCATCTCTACTCTTCCAGCCTCATTAACTCATACTAATTGGTCGAGTTATGATGAACAACCTCCCGACTATGACCAAAGTTACCTCGTTTTCTTTCGTTCGCCCTCCTTTTGCCAACATAAGTAGGTTTTCAGGGCGCATCCGTCCGTTACCCCAGCGAGTGTTTCTCTATTTCTTCTAAATTGTTTTATCATAACCCCAACATACATCTTACATTGAGGCAATTTTCATACGTTTGACGTGTTCCTACTGACTGCAGGTAAACAGAGGCGGAACAGAGGAAACTTACCTCGTGTTTCGCGCCGCCCGGGAATCGAACCCGGCGGATTGGTGGATTGCTTTCTGGGGATAACGATCGTTATCATCTCATATCATTATAACAGTAATCCCCTTCAACAAAAAAATGTTTTAAAGGAAAATATACGACAATACTGTCATTCGGACAAATTTACCATCACTGTTTCAGACCCGAGCTGGGGTTCGGAATCTGGGAAGGAGGGCGGGTGGGGGTTGTGGGAGGGAAAGGAGGGTGATCAAAGTTCAAGAGGAGGGTCTTGAGTTGGGTCTTGAAGGAGGCGAGGGAGGGGGCGAGACGGGATGAAGTTTCAAAGGGTGGGGGCAGAGTGGCTGAGGTTCCCACCTGCCAATGGTGGGGCGGGTGAGGCAGGGGCCGGAGCCCGCTGAGCGGAGGGAGCGAACAGGATGGTAGGGGGTTAGGAGGTCGCAGAGGCAGGGTGGGGAGCAAAGCCATGAAGGGCTTTGAAGGTGAGGACCAGGATCTTGAACTGTATCTCCTGTGTGATGGGAAGCCGGTGGATGGGGTGACAGGGTGGTGGAGCCTCGGGCGGGATAGGACACGGGCTGCAGATGACGTATTGCGGAGAAAAAATGCAGCGGCCGATTGTGTCTGACAAACGAT